ATTCAGGACAGCTATCATGAGCTGCAAAACCCCCTTTTCCAGTCAAAATCCATAATTCTTTCAACCACTCCTCATATTTTGGTTTCATAATTTTTCATCATTCAGGTCACTCACTGTGATTGACTTGAGGTACCTGATATTGAGAGAAACATGCAGAGTAACCCACCTGTGCCTCAGTTTGCTGGGATCTGTAAAACTGGGGTAATAACAGGATAATCTGTAAAATTAGGATAATAACAGTATATATAAAATTGGGAGAATAGCAGATAATAACAGATCTGTAAAATTGGGAAAATAACAGTAAAATGATGATAGGTGCTATGGAGAAAAATAGACAGCAGGGTAAGACGAATATGGAGTTCTATAGAAGGCAACAGGGTAGGAGTGGAGAGGGGGTCACTACGTTATATAGCGTAGTCTGGGAAGACCTCTCTAAAGGTACACTTGAGCAGAGACCGGAGGAAGTGAGAAAGTAAACCACGTGGGTATTTGGAAGAGAATGCCTGGCTAAAAGCACAGTAAGTACAAAGGATGTGCGCTTGGTGTGGTCTGAGGAGCAGCAAGGTTGGCAGGCTGAGGAAGACAGGAAGAGCAGTCAGCAATGCGCAGAGAGAAACTATGCACAGAAACTAAAACTATGTAGGCCAGCTTTTATCGAAGTGAGATGGAGAAAGCATCAGAAGGGTGAGATTGCCTGACTTGGGTTTTAAATGAGTACTGTATTGAGAACATACTGTAGAAAGAGCAAACAGGAAGTCATTGCAATCATGGAGATGAGTGATTAAAGTGGCTTAGACAAGTGGGGCAGAGTGAAGGTCCTAAGAGATGGCCAGCTTCTGGATATATGTGGAAGATAAAGCCAACAGGATTTGCTGATGAATGAATGCAGAATGTGAGTGAGAAAGAGGTCTGGGATGACTACCTGGTTTTTTGGTAACATGGGTTTGTATCCTGCGGGCCTCTGCCACTTACTATGTGACCTTGGCAAGTTTCTGAACACCCCTCTGCCTCAGTTTCTCCATCTGTAAATGGGAATAATAACAGTACCTACCTAATAAGACTGTTGTGAAGATTATACGTTAAAAAAGGTAAGAAGAGTGCCTTTCACCATGTAAGTACTAAATAAGCATTGCCATATCATCATCATCATTAGCTTGCTTGTGAAAAGACGGAGTTGCAGGAAGAACAGGTTTGGGGTGGGATGGAGATCAGGAACTCAGTTTTGAACATGTTAAGATTCTACTGGACATCTAAGTGAAGATGTTAAATGGAGAGCTAGACATAAGCAGAGTTTAGCAGGAAGTTCAGGGTTAGAGAAATATCTGGAAATTGGAGACATATAGACAGTACTGAAAAACATAAAACTAAAGAAGACCCCTCTAGGGAGTGAATTTAGAATAAAAAAGTGTCCAGGACTGAGCCTTGGGGCACTCAACATTTTACAAGTTGGGAAGACAATGAAGAACCAGCATCCTTCTTCCAGGAGCAGCATTCTGTGTGTCAAAGTAAGAAAGTGTTTCAAGAAGGAAGGAGTACTCAGCTGTTTAAAAAGATGCTGAAAGGTATAGTAAGATGAGGAATGATAACTGACCACCGGACTTTACAACACAGAGGCGTTGGCAAGCCCTGACAAGAACTACTTTGATACAGTGGGGATGAAAGTCAGGTGGAGGAAGTTCAAGAACCAATGGGAGGAAATGAATTGTAAACAGCAGATATGGACAACTCTTCAGAGGAATACCGCTGCAAAAACGAATAGAGAAACAGATGGGTATCCAGAGGGAAATGCAGGTCAAGTTTACTCTTGTTTTAAGATGAGAGAAAACACAGCAGTTTTTAATACCAATGATAATGTTGTCAACGGGAGAGTGAGAGAAGGATAATGCAGGAGAGGAGGGAACTGTTGGGGCCTGTCCTTGACTAGGCCAGAGGGGATAGAACACAGTGTACAAGAAAGGGGATGGCCCAAGAAGACTTCATCATTGGGTTATGCATTTATTTACTCAACAAATATTTATCAAGCAAGTAGGTTGTGCTCAACACTATTCTAAACACTGGGGAGACAGCAGCAAACAAAATCGATAGTTATACGAGAAAACACACATAAAGCACTTAGAACACTGTGTCTGGCACATGGCAGGCACCTAACAAATGCCAACTAAATACAGATAGATCTGAACTATAGATCCAAATCTTTTACAAAAATGTGGACCAAGACAGTGTCCTAAAACTTGCCACTAGAGAACTATGAGAGGAATTTGAGTAACATGCTTTGATAAAATTTAACTTACTTTCGATAATACGAGAAAATGGCTTTAGAACTCACTGAATGCAACCTCTTAATTTTGAAGGAAAAAAGTTAAAAACAGAAAGCCAAGTTGACTTGCCCAAAGTTACTATATTAATTCAGTGAAGAATCAAGAGCCAAAATTAAAACCCAGTTCTGCTACTTCCTACTCAGGTATTCATTACACTTTCTTTGATCTCTCTCTCCCTCTCTGTCTGATAGAAAAGCTGAAAATATTAAGACTGCAATATCCGTCTTCCCTCTGCTTATGCCTGGCCCTTCTCCCCCTCTGATTTACCACAGGCTGCACTTGACTCCTTATCACTTTATTTTAATCCAATAAAAACTGTAATTGTTTAAAGATTTTGGGAGGAGATAGAATATTTTAGTTACCAAAATTCCAGGTTATTTCCTATAAAAAAAAATCTATGATAAAATGCAATCCTATGCATCACATTTAAAGTATCTCAATTTTCTCACCCGAAATTCATGTAACTTGTAAGAAAAAGTTGACAGGCTGAAATGTCACCATGTTGATACTGATGGTGAAGAACATTTACTACAATTGACGTTACAGATGTTTAAATCAGTATATTTCAAAAACTAATAAATCAGAACAGAGAACTTTTTGGTTTGTTTCCTAGAAAACTTTAAAGGAATAAACCTGTTTTTGAACACCCATTACCAGTACTTTTCGCTAGCTCTGGTGGTCTAGCGGTTAAGATTTGGCCCTCTCACTGCCCTGGCCTACTTTCATTTCCCAGTTAGGGAACCACACCACACATCTGTCAGCTGTCATACTGTGGCGGCTACATGTTCCTGTGATGCTGAAAGCTATGCCACTGGTATTTCAAATACCAGCCGGGTCACCCATGGTGGACATGGTTTCAGTGGAGGAGACTAAGACAGACTAGGAAGAAGGATCTGGTCACCTACTTCCAAAGAAGTTGGCCATGAAAACTTTATGAATAGCAATGGAGCATCATCTGATGTACTGCTGGAAGATGAGAGGATGGAACAAAAGGTGAGGCAGAGTTCCACTCTGCTGTACACAAGGGCACTAGGAATTGGAAGCAACTGGACAGCGCTAACAGTAAACCAGTTCTTTTACCACAGATGGCAGCAGATCCATTTCTTACTTTCAGTATATGAGCCACATTGAGGATATCCTGAAAATGTGAATTAAAAGAAATACTCATTGAAATACAAGTCAATTTGCCCTTTTCCTTTTTGCATATTTAATAATGATTTAACAGGTGCTTAGTACTCAGTTGCAGTGAATAAGCATTCTACTTCAAACAATCCGTAAAGCTGAAGTTTAATATTTTAGTTGAGGTATCAGGCAAAGCCAATCATATTAGCTTTAAAACAACACCTTTTAGATTTGAAGCTTCAGACACTAGTTCTGATATGAATTACCCTTCAAGGCTTTTTTTTTTTTAATCCTAGAATGTCCTCCAACTTTTAGCTAAAATCTTCCACTGTTTGATAATCACTGTTCCACTCTTATTTTCTTAACCTAGGCTCATCCCTATAATGTTGCACAGCCATGTTGGTGTATCCGTACCCGTGTAGCACCCCTACCTTCTTGAGTCATTAAAACGAGCAACTCTCCAACATCAAAGTAAGGCAGTAGGAAGGATGCGGGAATAAACATTTCATATGAAAATTAAGCTTCTATTTCCACCCACCTGTAAATGCGGGCAAAACATCAGCGACTGTTTTAAACGTCTGGGTTTTACCTCAGGTTTTACATACTCTAAAGAAAGACCAAAGCAATTTCGGCATCAATAGCACAAGCCAAGCCCTAACTGCTCCAACAACCTTCAAGTCCGAACCTGCTCCTCGGAGGAAGCCGCCTGGGAAGTCTCAGAGAACACCACGCACCAAATACTGACTTTTTTCAAATCTAGCAGTGCAGTTCCAGTTTTCGACATCCTGATTGTGGGCACATGCAATTTTCTTATTAATCAGCAGCTTGAGGGCACAGACCTGTATTACAAACTGCAAATCCCAAGGACCGAGACAGTCCGGCGGCTACAAAGCCTGTACCCGTCCAAACTATTAACAGCACAGATAAAAGGTTTGATAAGCATGGTTTCATTTAGTCCTTTCAGCAGCCCTAGGAAGCAGTACTATTAATCATCCTCATTTTACAGATAATCACAATGAGGCTCGGAGAGGTTAAGTCAGTTGCGCGGGTATCAGGTAGTAGTAAGGGGCATTAATCAGGATGCCAAGCCCGACTTGTCTGGACGCGAGCGCTCTCACCCACTACCCAGGCGGCCTCTCCACTACACTCTCGTGATCGCCACACAATTTCCCTGAGCTCGATACACAGCAGGCTCGGTTCGGATCTCGGAATCAGGGAGGTCAGCGGGAGGCCCAGAGGCCTCCAGGGCGCCCGGAGACACCTCGCCCCACCGTGACCTGAGGTGGGACGAAACACGCCGAACTGGAGGTTTTTGCGCGCGAGGGGAGATGCAGGGCGAGGTGAATGGGCTCGCTGTGACCCAGCAGGGCCTCCCCTCCCGGCCACTCTGGTGCCAGAGCCGAACACCGAGGCCGGCGGGAAGCCGAGTCCGGGAACTCCAGGGCGGCCCCGGGGACCCAACACGCGCGGCCCGGGCCACTCCCAGCGCCGCGCATCTCACCGGCGGTCGGGCGCCGGGCGGGAGGACCGCGGGGAGTTCAAAGGCGGGCCCCGACGCACCTCGGGCGGGAGGGAGCAAAGGCGGCTCGCCCTCACCCTCGAGCGGCAGCGGGAGGTCTTCGGCGGCTCAGCGGCCGCGGGAAGCAGAGAAATTTGAGCGGCCGGCTTTTCCCCGACCCACCTATGAGAAAGAAGCCAAACGGCGCCCCGGCTGCAGCCCGGGAGGAGTTGAGTGTGACACCGCCCGTCGCCCCGCCCCTTCCCGTGGCCTCCCGGAGCCACTTCCGGCGGCGGTCTTCTGCTTGCTGCGGTCTCGAGCGGCCCCGGGCCAGTTCTTAACCCCTCGCTCCGGGACGGGCCGCCGAGGCTTCTTTTGGTCTCCAGAAACCGAGCAGAGCCCGCGGAGGCAGGTCCCGCGCCGTTGACCGCAGGGCTGCCTCTTCCGAGGTGGGAAGATGTGCTGCGAGAAGTGGAGCCGCGTGGCCGAAATGTTTCTCTTCATTGAAGACCTAGGGGAGGATTATAAAATCCTTTGCCTCTGCTCCAGGGCGTTTGTGGAGTAAGTAAAAACGTGTTCCTCTTCATTTCTGGTACCATCGTTTCCCAGAAATGTAGTTGATGCTTGCTAGTTGTAATTGATCCCGGAAACCACGACCGGAGTCTTTGACCCTTGGGCATGGTGGTGATTAAGAAAGAGAAAAAACGTTTTCAGACTACGGCGTGGTAGCCTACTGCCGTTAAGTGAGGGAGTAAATCTGCCTTGTAAGCTGTTAGGAAAAACTGTGGTAGCTGATAGATATCATTTTATAATAATAAATTGAGGGGACTTTAAAAGTTGGGGGAAAGTGAAATGTAAAATGAAATGTCTAATGGATGTGACACCTCAAGGTGCAGGTTTAAAGATGAGTAACTTGTTTTGGTTAGCATTTTTTTTTAAAAGCTTAAGATTTGTTAAAGTGCAAATGCTCACAAATAGAATTTCTGATTACCTGAGATAAAAGATTTAACCATAATTACATCAGTTTTTGAGCTGTCTTTATTTTTGGAAAATCTTTGTTTTGTGTAAAAAATTACCCTGCATGGAAGATAGGTAAAAAAAAATGACTAAAGAACTGGATGCTAAGAATGGTTTTCTTCATATTAGGTGTGTGCGTTTAACTTCTTAAATCTTTTTTCCCTCTGTAAAACAGGTATATTTACCCTAATCCTTTAGGTATTACTGTTACAACCTGTGGAAGTGAATTTTAGGTGATAGACTTTTAATACAGTTTAATGTTGTAGAATTTAAGTTTGAAGAAATTCTTATTTGTCATGTGTTTTTGTGGAGTAATCGGAAAATTAATCCAAAAAGAAATTAAACACTGTGTCAAATGTAAGGTAAAAAGTATTATCTTTGTATTCATGCATGCACATATTCATTCAATGAGTGCTTTTTGTATTGAGTACTGATAGGCACTGGGGAACAAGACACAGCTGTCCCTACATCCTTTGAGTTTACGTTCTAGCACAGGAGATCAATATTAAGACAACTACATAATTAATTATTATACTACATAATTGCATAATTAATGTAATTATACTACATAATTACATAATTATTTGGTTAATTATAGTTAAAAGTGCTATAGGAGAGAAGTACAGGATGCCAGGACAGCAGAAACCTAACCTTTCTCCACGGATCACAGAGAGTTAACTTTGAAGAAGTAGTGTTTGGAAAGAAGTCTAAAGAGCGTGTGGAAATATACTGGGATGTGTTTGAGTGGGAGGAGGCATTCCGGAAGCAGAACTCTATAAAAGCCTGAGGGAGCAAAAGAAAGCCTGTGAAACTGGAGCAGAACGACCGGGAAAGGAAGGTAGAAGACAGGGTTGATGAGGTAGGCAGCGTCAAACACGCAGGGCTTTGTAGAAGACAGGCTACCCCAGCAGCAGCATGGGGGATGGTTTGGAGGAGGAGAACCGCTTAAAACCATTTTTCAGGCTACAGATGATGGTGGCTTGGATTGGAGTTGGTGGCAGTGGAAATGGAGAAAGGGGGAAACATAGGAGAGAAATTGTTGAGTTTAGGATTGGATTAGATGTCGGGGAATGAAGGGAAGAGAAAGGAGGAGGAGGAGGAGACTAGGTCAAGGGTAACTCCCTCTTTTCTCTTTCCGACTTGTATTGATGGCTTTCACTGAGATAGGGATCACTGGAGAGCCATGGGTTTTTATTTTGGAATGGCAGTGAGAAGGTAATCGATTTTGCACGTTTTGATTTTGGAGTACCATGAGATGTCCAAGGGTAGATGTTATAGATGGTTGGATATATTGGTTTGGAGCTCTGGAGAAGTCTGAGCTGGTCTGAAAAACTTGAGCCATTCTGGTACAGACAGTAACTGAAGCCAGTCATTTAACATTTAAGACAGGGACAGGGATGGGATCCATCCTTCAGGAATTCCAACATTTTTTAAAGATTAAAAGAGAAGAGAGATGGATTAACTGAGAAGGAGGTAGAAGGCGAGCTCAAGTATACTGTCACCAAACAGTTGAAGGAAGGAGTACATTGCAAAGCTGCTAAATCAAGCAAAATGAGGACTAAAAAAATATCCAGTAGAATTGGCAGAAGTTTTTTTTAAAAATCTACCAGACTGATGAATTGCTCAGTGCCAGGCACTAATTGTTTTACATTTCATATATGTGTGGGGGTTTTTTGTTGTTATTGTTGTTTTCCATTTAAGCATTCTAGCAGCCCTCTGAGCTGGAATGTCCTGTTATCCTTACTTTATCCTAGTAGAAAACTGAGTTTCAGTAATGGCCTAAAAAAATCACACAGTCAGGTAAATGGCAGCCCTGGTTTCTACCCCAGGTCTGTGTGACTCCATAGTCTTTCCACTATCCCACTAATTTGTCTAGAACATAAGATTTTATTGAATCTTCCTGACTGAGGTACGTAAGTGGTCTCAAGTCACTAGGACAGCTGGAGCCTTATTAAAATACTTTAGTGTATTTTAGTCGAGATAGGGAACCATTCTGGAAATTGAAGGGCCTGTATTTACTTCTGATTATACCCAGGTAGCAGTGTCTGTTGGTGATCTCTAGTATTTCATATACAGCACAACAAAATCATTTCATCTGTTTTTTCCCACAAAATTCCTCATTTATTCAGCATGTGTTTTAGCCATCCATGTGTCAGGTACTGCAATAACAGGATGACTTAGGCATGGTAGTGATGATGGTTGTGTTCAAAGATGTGATGATGAGCGGCTTCGTCAGGGCTCTGAGGGGAGCAGTATCTTAGTGGGGTCACTACAGTGCAGGTCTCTTCTCCAGCTTTACAACTCAATTTAGCAGTTAGGGTTTATTTAGTCCTTACAATGTGCCAGGTCCAGATACTCTTCCAGAATCGTTATACTCTGTGGATTGAGTTACACTGATCAAACTCAAAGATTGCTTTATAGAGAACACTTAGCAAGTATAATGGAAAATTCTTTGAATACCAGGCATCAGAAATACATCCTTTCCGGTGATGAATGTTCTTGGAGATTGTTGAAAGTTGCCCTAAGTAAGAAACACTTTTCATAAAAATTTAGAAGCTAGCATTCTCTCTTGCTGCTAATCTTTCTGCCTCAGATTATCCAGAACCTTGTGATATACTAGTGGTAACTTTGGACACCTATTTCACCTCTCACCCACGAAGAAGTGTCTTTCTGCTCCATCCTCTGGACTTGGCCTGACCTATTGGGGTGGCCCATACCCTGAAAGGCGTGCAGGCTAGCGCTGTGGGTGGGGCCGAGGAGCTCACCAGAAGAGAGTACCTGGCTGTATTGTTGGATGTGCAAGCCAAGAAAGAGTCAGCTTGCATATGGTGCCAGCCAAGGCTACATCCTTAATTCTTAGCCTGCAGCCCATTTGAGTCTTGGCACTGTCCTCGTGAAGTCTCCTTTCCAAAAAAGAAAAGAAAGAGAGGGAATCTAAGTTACAAAATATAAAAAGTTGAGAAAAATTCTCATACCATACCTCTAGGAAACAATTTGTGACAGAATTTCAATTAGAGTGACTTTATTTAAAACAATTTAACTACCATATAAATCACCAATTACATTGAATTTAGTCTTTTTGAATTAAAATGTACACTCTTTTCATTACACATAATTTCATAGTTTTGTTTTTTTTTTTGATGAGGACAATTGGCCCGGAGTGAACATCTGTTGCCAATCTTCTTCTTTTTGCTTGAGGAACATTGTCCCTGAGCTAACATCTATGTCAGGCTTCCTCTATTTTGTATGTGGCATGCCGCCACAGCATGGCTTGATAATCAATGTGTAGGCCCTTGCCCAGGATCCAAACCCACAAACCCCAGGCCACCAAAGCAGAGTGTGCGAACTTAACTACCATGCCACCAGGCTGGCCTCTCATGTATATTCTTAAAACTTAGAAGCTCTACTTCACTTTCAGAAACTACATTCTGTGTTCAAAATAAGTAGAGAAAAAAGAATGGCTTTTTCCTTTAGATCAATTAATGCTCAAATTATAACCCTTTAGAACAATAAGAACCTGGAGATATGATCTTGGAATTGTTGAGAAGTCCTCCAGAGTGGGAGACATGCTGGAAGTTCAGAGGCTTTTAAGTGTAACCCTGATTTTCCAGGTAGAGAAAAGTCTGTTTCAAAATCTCACAACAACAGATTTGATTGTTGGCAAAATTCTAAAACAGATTATTAAACTGAAAAATCAGTACCATGTAGCAGAAAGCATAGAAAATGAGTGTTAGCATAGGTTCCAAATAACTTCTCAGTAATTGAGTTGATTCTCATACTAAATACGGTCACTTGTGCACTTCCTCTCAAAAGTGGGAAATAGAACATTGTATTGTAATTAATTTTTGCTTTCTGAGGACATTACATTAACATACTGTCTTATGAACTCTGTAATTGGAGTAATAATTCTATTTCATCTACACATTCAATTTTCTATACATCATCTGTATGAAGACGACATAATTACAATTTTAGGGGCCTCTTAAAAATAATCGTTACAGTGGCTCTGTAGTAACATGAAAAATGCCTTGTGTTAATTGACATCTCAGAATACAAAATAGCTATACTATGATTAGAATTATGTAAACTTGTGTGTCCTTATATACAAAGCCTAGAATAGAAAATGATGGATTGGTAGATATTTGTTATAAAGCTGCCTGTGCTATAAATAACAGGCTTTAATTATGTAATTATTTTTGAAATAATTCATTTGGAAATAATTTCAAACTTACAAGAATAGTTCAAAGAACATCCATATTTCCCTCACCCAGATTCAGCAACGGTTAACAATTAACTGCATTTATTGCATCTCTCCCTCTCCATAAACACACACACACACAATCACAATCTTGAGTCTTCTGAACCATTTGAGAGCAAGCTGCAGACCTGATTCCCCATCACTCCTAAATATTTCATTGTATATTTCCCCCCAAACAAGGATATTGTTCTACATAACCACTTTAGTGGACTCAAATTCAAATTTCCCAACTTTGCCAACAGGGTTTCTTTCCTTTCCGATCTAGGGTTCCATGTAGGAACTTGTTATATTTACTTAATGTCTTGTCAGTCTCCTTCAATCTGGAAAAATTTTTCACTCTTCTCTCCCTTTCATGTCCTCAACAGTTTGAAAGGTTCAGACCTTACCTTCTGTAGGATGACCTTACTTAACCTGGGTCTGTCTGACGTTTCAACAGGAGAAGAGCCAGGCCAGCCTTCTCTTCAGGAATGCCACAGAAATGATCCTTTGCTCAGCTCTGCTTCACTTCTGGAGGCACTTTCTATAGACTCATACCACCATTAGTGATGTTGACCTCCGTTAACTCATCGTGTTGCTTTTCCCAGATTTCTCTACTGTAAACTCAGAATGGTTCCCTTTGTGTGAATTAGTGTTTTGTGGGGAGGTATTCCAATGTCAAGTGCCCTGTTGCTGCCTGAATCAGCTACCTCTGGAGGTTGCCAAAGAGCAATTCTCTGTCTGCATCATTCCTTCTGCACTTATTGGTTAGCATTCTGTATGGAGCACTTCCCTTCTCTCCCCCGTATTTGTTTACTCCTTTTATATTAACATGGACTGTGGGTTGTTGGTTTATTGATGAGTTATATTCTGTTACTATCATCATTTATTTTGATGTTCATATTTTCTCCAGTTTGGCTATTGGGGGTCCCTTGAGGTGGCTCCTGTATCCTTTTGATGTGTCCCTGGCATTCTTTGAACTCTTCCTAACCTTCTGGTACAAAAAGATGCTACAGGTATATCTTTTACAGTCCGTGCTCCAACCTGGAATTGCCATTTCTCCAAGGTGCCCTGCTTCCTTTTAGTGGAGAGTATTTAGAAACCAAGTCCTGGGTGCTCATTGTGCTCATTGCTCCTGGAATTTCAATGCTTCTGTGCCCTCTCAGCAGACAAAGTTAGGCAGTACATATATGTATTTTACATACATACATAAATGTGTGTGTGTGTAGGAGAATCTTGGCTATCATTATCCTCAGTACATTTACTTATTTGCTACATGTAACCAATCTTGCAACCATATTGGGCAATCTCCTCCACCTGACGCCTTAGTGTCCCATATCCTTGAGTGCTCAAGGCACGCCATTGATACCCTCTGTGCGGCTGCCACTCCCTCCCTCGCCCCACCAGTATCCCATGTTCTTGGAGGCCAGTGGGCATGCTGCCAAATCACATTTGCACTTCGTCCCCTCCCCCATTCACTATCCTGGGTGTCGCCACCTACTTTGTTTTATAAAGTATCAGAAAACAAACAGAAGGATATGAAATATATCAAGTACACAAGAATTTTCTTTTGTTGAATTTATTGTAGTTCCATTAGAAAAGTAGTATTAGCTATTACTTGCAGATGGCCTTATTATAGCAGTTATGATGGAGTTGAATTTACTGGTAGGAAGGTAATAACAGCAAAATCCTCCCTCCCCCCACCCCACCTTTTTTTAAGCGTTTTGTTAGGTTTATTTTAGTTAGGTAGTTTCCAATCTTAGAAAATAAAGGAAACATTTAGAAGTATGTATGTAAGAAACAGTTTATTCACTGTTTTTAAAGGTCATTGGCATTGAATTGTTTTGTCTTGATTTATGTTTCAGTTTGATGATATTTAAATAAGAACTTCATTTTATGTTAGTCCCCAAAATAGTTTTTGCTCAGCCTCTGAGCATCTTGTCTGCTAGGCAATGAATAATTTGGCCCATTTGCAAATGGTCTAGGGTCGGCATGTGGCTTTATACATGTGTAAGACAGTCTTTCCAGTTTTGTGCTCACTTCTTAGAGAACGTTTCATTGTTTATATATCATAGGGAGGGTCAGATTCTTCCCCCAATATCCAAAACTACCACTTAATTTTAATAATTAGTAGTTTTAATTATAAATGCTTGACATATGGTGTATACTGAATGATTTACATATACTCTCAATCTTTATAACAACCCCATGAGATGTATTATTACCTCTATATTACAGATGAAGAAAATATATTAGCAGATTGCTTTTTTGTTTCTTAACTTTCTTACTAATTAATCTATGCTGCGTTGAACTTGTTTTTTCTCTAAATTTATAGTTTAATTTTTTTCGATATTGACTGTTTAATTTGCTTCACAGAGATCGAAAATTGTGCAATTTGGGATTAAAAGGGTACTATGTTCAAGACAATGGCAGTGATGCAGGTAATACAGTATAAAACTATATAGCCCTTTTTTGCTAAAATTAACTATAATACTGTATTAATTTAAGTATGATTTGTTATAATACTGTATTGTTAGCATAAAATACTATAAATGGCAAATAATCCTATAATCAGAGGCAGTCCTTATTTTTTATTATAATCTGGTTCTAGAATCCCTATCAAAGCAGGTGTTTTCTTTTCCTGTAGGTAGCTCCTGTGTGGGCTCCAGGTAGCCTCTTTTACCCTTTGTAAGCATTCCTTCCCCAGTTGTCGTCTTTAAATAAAAGCAACCTAAAATTTAAAGCTTTGAAAAGCAGAGAATGTACAGTTTCTTCAGCAGAATTTTATTATGTTAAAAGGTAAACTGAGACACATTAAAATTTTCAAGAGTTAATTTGAGCACACATAGATTCAAATTGGGCACCACCAAACCAAAGGTGATTAGGAGCGCTCCACCAACAGAAGCTCCGGGAGGGATTTTTCTAGAGAAGATGCTGAAGCAAAGCAAGGAAATGATTTGATTGGCCGTAGTTTAAGCAGTCACCTTATTTGGGAAAGCTGAATTAGCTGTTTGTGATTGGTTGGTGTTAAGTTTCATATTCTCAGTTTCCAGTGCTTTGACTCTGGCTTAGGGTTTGGTTTGTTTGGCTAGGCTACCAAGACATTAGAACCACCTCACCCTGATGGCCTCTTTGTTTAAATACTTGAACAGTTGTGTAGATAAATGATTCAGGGTAAATTCCAAGTGAACATCCATAGTCTTGCCTGAAGTAAAGAGGACACAGTCTGGGTTAACTTTCTCAAATAACAAATAGAATTTGTTCTGTACTTTGAGCCTCACCTAGTTACCTGAAAACCATTTTGCTCTCTCTCAGACTTCACTATCAGGACCCCATTTGTTCTTTGCACACAGATCTTTTATGTTTTTCTAGACAGAGGGAAAACTGCAGCATGAGTTATAGGCTAAAATCAGCACAAGTAGTGTGTCATGTTACCTGCCCTTTAATTCTCACAGTAATGGAGCAAATCACTGTTTCTTCAGTGGCTGAAATGTTTGGTTGTGTTTCAGTGTTATGTTGTACAAACAAGATTCTTTTAGATACGAGACTTCCACTGAACGTTAGAAAATACGGACACCGTGAGAGAAACGTAAAACTTAGCTGATTTGTTTTTCCTATTTTGCTCTCTCCTGAGCTATCATAAGGTCATTGAATGGAATGGTGAGTGGACTGCCCTTCATTATTTAGATAGGTATCTTATTTCCCTCTTTGTTTTAGTAGAATTTGTGCATATAGGATTTCTCTTTTTTTCAGTCTCCTTATTTGCTGTGTAAGATTCCCTGTTCTGTTGCCTAAAATCATTTAGTGGGAGTGCAGCTCAGCCCTAATTGAGTATGCTAATATATAAAGTGATTTTTGGCTCACATTTTAAGTGGTTAATAGAGCATTTGAATGGCATTAGTCCAATTAGTGGTATGATCTACTTTTAGACAATCATATTCGGATAAAGGAAAACTTGGTTTTGTTATAATAAAACAGGTTTCCTAGAAGACCTAGGATCAGGGAGCTTGAAAGGATCTTTCAGTTCAGTGGATTTCACATTTTTAATGGCAGAACACTTTCGTTAAGTCAGCTCTCCCACGGAGTCCCAGGGCGTAAATCCCAGTTGTGATTGCAGTACCTGTGAGGGGCCTAAAGACTCACCTCTCACCTCTCTTGTTAACAGCTCCTAGAATAACTCCACAAATCATCATTTTAAATCCACTGATCTAGTTCAGGTAACGGATGTGAAGATGTACATCTTTTCCCTCTGGTTACTCTGCCGTGTTCCCTCTTACATCCTCAGTACTTTGCACAGTGCTTAGCACAGAGGAGATGCTCAGTAAGTGCAAGCCGAGTTGGCAGCTGGAGGGATAGAGGCAGGCAGAGCCAGACTGGACGTTGTCTCTTAATTCTTAGTTAGCTGTTTTCTTACTAGTTCATATTACCATCAATTCCTTTTTTTCCGTTTTTTTTCTTCCCCTTAAAAATTGTAACATTTATGTATCTTTATTTGGGCAAATCATGTAATAACTATATCTCTGGTTCTTCTTTAAAATGAGGATAATAAAACCTGTGTGTAAATTGTCTGTAAAACTAAGCTAACAAATGCTGTCTGTAGGAGAGCAGGCTACAGAAGAGGAGGAAGGTGGTTATTCCCATGGCACTACAGAATCACATGACAGCAAAAGCATAGGCCTAAATGAAAGTGAACTGGATTCCGAGGCTGAACTCATGAGAAGTATGGGACTGCCACTTCAGTTTGGTGGGACATCTGCACATAAAAATTTTGAGGTAAATATTAATTTGCTTTTATTATTTCTATTTCTTAGTTTTCTTCATAAAATAACACATGGAATTTCTCTTTTTCCTGAGGAAAATTCATCCTAAGCTAACATCCATTGCAAATCCTCCTTTTTTTTTTTTTCTTTTTAACTTGAGGAAGATTAGCCCTGAGCTAACATGCGTGGCAGTCTGCCTCTGTTTTGTTTGTGGGACGTGCTCACAGCATGGCTGTGAGTGGAGTAGGTCTGCTCCCAGGACCCGAACTCAGGCCACTGAAGCAGAGCGTGCAGACCTTTAACCACTAGGCCGGGGCCAGGCCCGACACAGGGAATTTGTTTATCTTAAATCTAATGCATTTATGAATTAGAGCACTCCACCTCTTTTTAAATGTACATATTTATAAATTAACCAAAACTGCAAGTTGTGATCTGTCTCGTGCTTTTTCCTCCTCTTAGAAACTTAGATAGTAAGATTCACTTGTTTGTATAACTGAAAGCCCAGGGTGGGGGAGGTTGAAGGTATTTTGTTTAATTTAATGTCAAATAGACTTGGATCCAAAGTAGACTTGGGTTCTACTTATAGTTTATGAAGTGCATTTTATATCCAAGTTATTTATCTTATGTAGGTATCTATGAATACTAGAAATAAAGTTAAAATAAAGAAGAAAAAGAAGAAGCATCAAAAGAAGTACTTAGATGAAATTATGAGAGAATCTTGGAGACAAGAATATGAAGAGGATGACATTTTGGCTTCAGATGATCCATCTTCAGTTGAACGGTGTGAGAACACCAGAAGGTGTAAGCTTCAAACCAAGAAAGACATTGAAACTGAAAATCTTCCTGTTGAAAATACGTTATCTCCAAAGCTAGAAATTACAGAGAAATGGGAAAAGTATTGGAACGAGTATGGTGGAGTACTCTTATGGCAAAGCTGGCAAGAAAAACATTCGGGTCAAACGTTATGCTCTGAACCTTGGAACGTTCCTGATACAAGAGAAGAATGGGAACAACATTATAGTCAACTTTACTGGTATTATTTGGAACAGTTTCAGTATTGGGAAGCTCAGGGTTGGACGTTTGATGCCTCACAAAGCTGTGACACAGATACTTGTGGGTCTAAAACAGAAGTTGACGACAAGAAAGGTGAAAATTGCATGAAAGCAGGCTTACTTTCCCTTCCATCTTCATCAATTGGTAGCAAAAGCTCTAGTTCAGGTGATAAAGATCATAATGAAATACTTGATGGAATTAGTAATATAAGTCTGAATTCAGAGGAAGTAGAACAGAGCCACTTAGATTCTTCTGTAAGTTGTGATGGACGTCAGGCGCTAAGTGAAGTTAACAGCAGAAGAGAATGCCCTGCTTCTGGCCAAAGTGAACCATGTAATGGTGGAACCAAGGAAAGGAGCTCATCTGGGAATAGAAGCACAGACCAACCAGCTCAGGGTAAGATTGACCAAGATTTATCCTACTGAGTAATGGTTAGCAAAATGAATCTCTCTCCCAAAATAACTAGCACTAATCCTTTATGGTAGAGTTAAATAATGCCAACTGATGCTTTCTAGTATAACAATGAAATGATTTAATCCTGTCATTTTTATTTCACTAGTTGTTTGTTACCGTTTATATAAATAAAAAGAATATTTGCATGGGGTTCTGGAATTATCATTCCTTCCTCTTGTACCTTGTTGGCCAGTGAATTAAAACTTGGAAATCCCTTGAGAAATCTAATTGAGCATGAGCTTGGAAGGTCAGAGTTTCTCCTGTGAGCTCACGGGAGGTTGTTAGAGGGTGATTGAGAGTACGCACTTGACATTAGGCCAGTGTGAAGGTGAGTCATATCTAGAATTCAATCAGAGCAAGTGAAGTCTTGGTCTACAGAGAATCTGAACAGAGCACAATACTAATTTATAAGTGGAAGGGTTGCTCTCAGGATTCTCATAAAATATCCAGGATTAGGAAATTGGTTGACTCCTGCCTAAGTGATTTAAAAAAAAATCGTTTTGCAGACTGGTGCCACTGTCAGGACTAAAAGCCAGCAAGAGGTCTGTTCAGAGAAGTTAGGGTAGGGCAAATGAGAATGCTCTCGCTAGAGAGAAGGATACTACCAACTGATGGCACTAGGAAAACGGGGGAGGAGGAAATTTTTATATAACTTTTGAATTTTTTATGAAGCCCACTAAGATGTTGTCTTGACATCCTTGATGTTTGGTGCTGGAAAAGTCTGGTTTATAAGGACTTTCTTCCCAGCCTTTTTCCTATATGAAGCAAAAGGCTTTGGCCTTTTACTTAACACTTGGGTTTGCTTTGTTGTCTCAGATCGCTGATCTTACTTCATCGAGTTGAGAGTTTCCTTTACTGAGTTACGAAAGTGCTCTATCTACTTTTTTATTTCTCTTTTCTCTATACTCTTACAATGGAGCTCAATTCAGTACAGTATTCTCATTCTTTCTCTTTTGCTGTTTTTCCATCCTTTTTCTATATGATTATTTTATATCAGTCTTTTCATACTCTTCACTACTCTCCTGATTACTTTCTTTACTTCTTTTGACCATACAACTTGAAATATGTGTATTGGTCAGCGTGTTGGCCCCTATCTTACTGCTTCGTGCTGCTCCTTTTGATTATCCTTTCTGATCTTACTTTTTTCCTTTTTCAAACATAGTAAACCTGATAGTTTCTGCCTTCTGTTGCCTGTTTCCTAAGTTATGCGTAGACCGACCATTTCTGTTGCCTGTTCCCTTAGTTATGTATCTAATTGGCCGTTTCTATAATTAGCTCCAGTGTGACTGCCGTCAGATCAGCTTGAGAATTCTAGGTTTTGCTTTGTTGTAGATCTTCCATTGAGATCAAAACGTAGGGTATTTATTGCATTTCTCTATAAGTATACTTTCTACTTTTTGTGCCTCCTTGTTCTCCTGAAATAGTCTGTCCCCATGCGGTCAAAGCTTCCCATTGTCTACGTTGCAGACACCTCTCAACTTCTGGTCCTGCCCACCCACTTTTTTCCAGTTGGAAGAAATATAGAACAAACACATATGCCTCAGTTGGAGCCACCACAAGTTAAAAATGCTTTTTAAATGCTTATCTTTCTGTTACTTCCATCATTAATTTCAGAGCTATATTAGAGACAATTAAATGTATTTGCTTCTTAAGAGGTTTTTTGGTTTGTTGGTTGGTTGTTTGTTTGGTGAGGAAGATTAGCCCTGAGCAAACATCTGTGCCAATCGTTCTTTATTTTGTATGTGGGACATTGCCACAGCATGGCTTAACGAGTGGTGTGTAGATCCACACCTGGAATCCAAACCCATGAACCCTCGGTCGATGAAGCAGAGTGCATGAACTTAACCACTACACCACCAGGCCAGTCGTGAGAAATTATTTTTAATCAATATGATCGTGCCATCTTTAGAGTCATTTAGATTAAAATTCCATCAAAGTGTGATAGGTAACAGCTATCGCAAAGGTAACTGTGTGGATTAATTTGTGTAGATTTGGACAGCCAAGAGATAAAGGTAGTTTTAGTTCACTTTTTAAGTAGTTAGATCATGGAAACTTTTAAACTTTAACAGACATAGCTTCCATTTTTTGTGGTCAGACTCTGCATGTAGATACACAGACCAGGTAGATGTGATCTGGCATTTTCCCTGATGTGCACGTAGGGTTCATTGCAGGAAAGGCACTGAAATATTTTGATTGCCTTTGCAAATGGCAGAAGAGTTGTCAAACCAAGGGGAAACTTCACTGCAATATCTCTGCCTCTTTAGATTCACAGAGGTCTTCAGAAGCAAACACAGTCAAAGACAGACCTCATCCCAAACATATTGATGGGGATGAGAGTGAAGAAGATCCGCCTGATCATAAGCCAAGCAAACTCAAGAGGAGGCAAGTTGCTGTTACTCTCTCTCCAGAATGTGTGAGCATAAGCACTCATGTCCAGGAGTGAGTGGCTATAAAGCACTTGTTATGTTACAACATTGCAGATCCTGTGAGGAGAAGAGACAAGACACACTGGCAAGACCCTGGGCTTTGGAGCATGGTCAGATCCCAACTCTGCCTCTTATTCTGCCATAATTTTTTATCTGTAAAAAGGAACTGATGCCTTTTTGCGAGATCATTGGGAAGACTGGAAGTAGCTTGTAATATATCTGACACAGTAGCTATCAATGGATGATAGCTTTTAACTAATAATGTAGAAGTAGGTATGGTCTCTCTTGAGGAGGTTCTAGTTCTTTTCCAAAAGTCTGAGTATGTATTATCCAGAATTTTATTGCTAAAATAGACCTCAGATATATCCAATGTAATGCTCCCATTCTATAGATAGGAATACTAAGACAAAACAAGGGTAAATGCCTTGCCCGGACTTATATAGCAACAGCGGCAGCTCTGAAACCGGAGCCCAGACCAGCTTTTTCAGAGGCAGTACTCTCTAGCTACTCCCTTGATATGTATAATTAAACAAGTAGAGAGTAGTGTAAGGTAGGATATGGTCAAATGCTAGTGCTGTAAAATACAAGAAAAAGATGCACATTACAGAACTTGGTTGTTAGCTGGAAACGTTTCATTTCTCTGACAGGATATGAAGTATTTCACATAAGACTTTTATGTTCCGTACAGCTTCTAGAAAAACAGTAAGCAAGCTTCAGAGGCTCAGTACCTTAGCGCATAAAAGCATGCCTTTACTGTGTTCCTTCTACATGGTAGACGTTGCTTGTTAACTCCTCCATTAGTTCCTGCTAGTTCCTGGAGGCAGAGACTGTGTGTGTACTTAGATTCCTGGGACCTCGTAGTTCCTCCATAAATCTTCAGGGAGCTTAAGGTAATTTGTAAGAATTATTTCTCACCATTTTCATTTGTTACTGTCGCCCAGGTAGTAGGGCTCCCTAGAAGGCATCCCCAGTAGATGGATGATCTTGGGTTACTTAATGTCACTCACTTGTATCACAACTTTATTCTTCTTAACAGTATTTTTTCCTTTGTAATTTTTTTGGTTGGATTGATACTTTTCAAATGTTTCCTTGTTTATTTTCAAGGAAAACCTCTAGAGATAGCACTCTAGGAGATTAGTTTAAGGCTGCTGCTTTTACTGGTGTTTTCCCAAAGGAAAATGGAGAGATCCATATTTGTACCATGTTCAAGAATAGAGATAATTACTTGACATGGTTTAAGATTTGAGTGCTTATTGCTGTGTTCCAAACATGCTACGTATTTTATCTTGTTTGGAAAAATCCTGATTAAAGTGCTCTTTCCTGTCTTCCCCGATTTGTGAGCCACGGTTGATTGTTGTGATGGGGAATTTGCATGGGTTGACTATATGTACCTTTTGATATTTGCCTGTACTGGTGTGCTCTGGAGGTAATGGCTTATCACTGTTTCCCTTTTGTTTATTTGTTTAGCCATGAACTGGACATCGATGAAAACCCAGATTCAGACTTTGATGACAATGGTTCCCTTCTAGGATTCCAGCATGGCTCAGGACAAAAGTAATTATACATAAATACTCTTGTCTTCCAGAAATCTTAAGCACTTCAGCTATTTTAAAGCTCTCTGATATTCAGATAGCTAATAATGATTATGTATTTGGTCGCATCTGAGATGTTAATTAAGACACTAACCTGTCTTGATAAAAATGTTAGAGATGTCACCGTACATTTGATATGTTCACATGTATCAACTCATTTGCACCTCATAGCAACCCAGTGTTACAATTCCAATGTCACAGGTAAAGCAGCTGCAGCTCACAAAGGTTTTCATTTTGTCAAGATCACAGCATTTCCTGGAGAGGACTCAAGCCCAATGCTTGAGACTTCTAAGCATGGTTGTCTCTTCACCTAACATATCACGTATCTACCTCTGTACATCTAAAGTGTATAGTGAACATGCCTTGAAAAGTTCAAACCTGCAGTATTTTTTTTCTTTTTTATTATGAAAGTGGTAAAACTCAAACAAAGCAGAAGTAAAAAGTAAAGAGTGAAAATCTTTTCTTCATATCATTCCCAGAGGTAGGCAGTGGTTGGCATATATCCTTACTAAATTTACTAATGTGCATTTTTATGATTATGTGCATATACACGTTACTGCCTTTTTATAAAACACAAAAATGGAATCACACTATACATATTCTGCAGCTTGCTTTTTTCCCTCAACGGTGTACCATGAACACCCTGCCTTATCAATACATTTACCTCATCCCTTTTGGTGGAGGCATGCGTTAATTGTCATCCTGTATGTACATCTAGGTTGTTTCCTGAGATCTAATCATATGTCCTTGAGGTCCCCCTGGTTCATTGCATGTACCAGTAGTTCATTCCTTCTTCTTGCTGAATCGTATTCCATTGTATGGGTGTACCATAGTTTGTTCAACCATTCGTCTATTGAAGGACATTTGGATCCTGTGTGGTATTTTGCTATTACAAATAAAGCTACCCTGAACTTTTGTGTACAGAAAATACAAGTTTTCTCTGGGATTAAATTCCCAAGCATTAAATATAAGGAAACTTGAAAGCTTTATTGCATGTGACTTGATGACTGAACTGAGTAGATAAGACACACTAAAGACCTGCCATTTATGTCAGCTTGCACCAGTGCTTTAAATGAAGGTTAAAGTCTTTGATGTTTCTAAGCATGGAGATTTATTTTTGTTAGTTGTGAAATTTTAGTGGATACCTACACATTATGAAATCAGCAAAAAAAAGACATAGGTCTCAAGGTTGACATAAATTGAATACAAATTAGTTCAGAAATACATCTCATAATTGTAATACTATGAATATTTTTTTTAAAGATTATCAGTTAATCTCTCCTGTATGGTACTTCAAGGCAGTTGTAGTTCATGTAACCATTTAAGGCTAACAATCATAAAAATTAGTAGTATAAAGAGTTTTCCTGATATTGCCATGTTTGAATTGCTAGCAGAATTTATTTCTACCCACATGTGGTTTTATTGAGAAATTTCTTGGGTAGTTCTTGCTGGTATACACACACAGAAATTTATTCTGTTACCTGGGATTTAACTTAACTATTCTCCTGTTTAAATAACCCAATTCTGCTTAAAAGAGAAGGATAAGATATACTTTTTATAAGGAAGTTTATAATATGGCTAGAAGAAAACATCTGACATTTAAAATCAAACTGTTCAGGAGTTTATAAGTGCTAAAATGTATACTACACCCTAAGTCCCTAATAGTCTGTAGGAGAGGCAGTCAGTGAAGCTTGACAGAGTCAAAGATGGCTTCATAGCAAATATATATTTTTTAGGACTGGAAAAATTCAGATGGTTAAATCAGTTGACATTCTCTATTTTAGTAATAGGGGTTTGCTTGTTTGGTGAGTTCAGATTGATTTAGGTTAAGAATTTAGTGACTACTTTTAAGATAACTTGAACATATCCAGGTATGTGTTAAAGACGTTTGGCATCACCTCACCATAAGAAAAAATTGTATTTCCCCAATATGCAATGGGGTTATATTTTCCTACTATTTCTTTATTACGTTTTACTATGTAATTTCTGCTTTCTTCTCTGTATAAGATATGCTGATATTTCCAACTTTGATGTTTCACATTTACTTGAGAATTAACATACAAGCTAGACCTTAAACTCCTCTGCATTTTAAACTTTATTTCATAATTTTCATAGTTTAGAAAAATGAAATTAAAGTAGATCTGCTAAATAGAAAAATAGTGAAAATTGTGGTTATATTCTCTAGTCATAAAAAAACAAATTCATAGAACTTAAGGTTTGAGTCAGCTTCTTTTGGTTTGGTCACAGATATGGTGGAATTTCAAATTTCAGTCAGCGACGGGTCAGGTATCTACAGAAGAATGTGAAGTATAAGTCAAAGTTCTTGGACATGAGAAGGCAAATAAATATGAAAAACAAACACATCTTCTTTACTGAAGAGTCAGAAAAAACATTTTTCAAGAAAAGCAAAACTTTGAGCAAGGTATGCATAAATTTTGTTTTATATTTACAGGTAGAATCTCATTTTGTTAGCTTGACTTATTGAAATTGTTGTTTTCAATTGGGAACCCTGTTTCTACCAGGTATAAGGGTACCTAAAATTCTTTTCCACTTGCATCCTAAAGGCATATATTGTGTGAACTAAATTTGGAGAAAAGTAAGTTGGGGATAAAATGAAAAGGGGACATTCTGAAAGCTACAAAATGTAGTGTCTGGGAAGATAAATAGGTAAAATTGCCTTGTGTAAATAGTTACAATGAGACGTTCTCTTCTTATCTACTTGCGTCTAAGTAGGATCCTAGAAGTCCAGTTCTGACAAAGCTTTTATTAAGCTTATCAGCCTTAATTTTGAGGTCACTTAGAAGTGATCGATCAGCCTTTACCCTGACAAATTCGTCCTAACAGCATCAGGCTCAAGGCTGATTTAGTGATTTACACTGTTAACTGGAATATTCATATTCTCTCTCGGGCTTTGCTGTACCTGCCATCCAAGTACCTGGAAAGCAAACGTAATTGCAGTTGCTATCGCTTGGTTTGATGAGTGATCCTTCTCCATTATTGGAAAAAAAGCCACCTTCTAGTGAGCAGAACCTTTGTCACAGTCACACCTCCAGCGGCTCTTCAGGGCAATGGAGCAAAATCTCAGAGCCTGAGAGGACTTGGCTTTACCCTCAGGATACATTCATGATCCTTCCTAACTCCAGCATTCTTCCAGACCATGCTACAAATTTATAGCTGGTTTTAGTTTTCATTATATTTCAGATAGGTTGGTTGCTGGTGATATTTTAATTTTTTGGTGGCCCTGGTTATATCGGGAACAGCTTTCCCAATATCAGTCCAGTCAGTCATATAGGACTTTTTATAGTGTGCTGGGTGTGATAGTCCCCATACGTTCATCTGTCGAAGAGCAGAAACATAACTACTAAGTATTGTTGAGGAAAAAAATAAATGTGGCTGTTGTGTCCTTAGATATCTGATTGATACACGGGCACAGCCCCCACAAAGGGAGATTCTGGGTTGTCGTCCATGCCCATCTTCTGTCTACCACTCTTGTTCTGATTTCTTAACTCTTAGGAAGGTCATGAAGATCTGTTACAAAGAATATTCTTGTTCCAGAAGATTGCAAGGAAGTATATGGCATCTGACCTTGAGCCTTGTTAACATTTAAGAAGAAACCTAGTTTTCAGAAATCATTTTACTGGCTCTCCTGCTTCATAGACAGATTGGCACTAAATCTTTTTAGAGTTCCTCTTTGATGCTGAGTACCATTTAACACAGATTGTGGCCTGGGCCATTGCGGAAAGCTCTATATGATTTGAAAAACTAAAATTAATGACTCAACAATAGATAAGTACTTTTGTAATGGTACAGTTACATTGTTAGAAGCCTTTATGGAAAGCTACTGGAACAGTTTTGTCGTCTTAGTGTTAATTGATAACAGGAAAGTCATAGTCTTGTGTTTAATCTGGTATTTTCTTCCTTTTAAAGAAGTCTTTACCAAAGTCATGGTATGTTCAGATAACAAAGTACAGTTAGCTCGGAATTACTTCCTCACATTAGCTTGTATACTTAACAGAGCTAATAACTATGACGCAGCTTGTCAGTCAAGTCACAAATGGTAAAGCAGGTGGAAATATTCTGTGTAATTTGGAATTAATTCATGCTTGTAACATCTTACAATTTCAGGTAGAAAAATTCCTAAAGTGGATTAATGAACCAATGAATGAGGAAGCATCGCAGGAGTCAGTTTCTCATGACAATGTGCAAGACACTTGTACAAGCAGTGGTTCAGAGGAACAAGAAACGTCTGTTAAAAAAGATGATGACCCACTGGAGACAAGCAATCCAGAACCGGAAACATGCCATGCCATCTCTTCAACTGGTGAACTCGAAACAGAAGAACGTGAAGGGGACAGTACAGTGGCAGCTGTTACAGATAGGGAGGATTGCGTTACTCAGGATGCACCAGTGTCTTTTCAGGTAGAAACTGAAGGTAAGACTAAATGTGCTTGAACTTGCTGATGGATTTAGATAAATGCGCTTTTTAAAATATGTTTTTCCTTAGTTTTCACTTATGAAACATCTAGACCTAAGGATTCACTGCTATTTATTTTTAAGTTGAGAGAAGGCATATTAAGTGTAAGTGTGCTAATGGCTATGATTTGGCCCCCAGAGCACACTTCACTCTTGGCTGAGCAAGCTCGATAAAATAAAAGATAAAGTATGTGGGAGAACTCTTTGAGTACCTTTGTCTTTGCCCTTAAGATTGATCTCTGCCACTACATTCTGTTCAATGGGCCAAAAGTGGCCAGTCCTTTTTATTCCTCTTGAAATTTAGTATTGCCCTGGCTTTCTTTTTAATAATTCTTTTTTATATTTTTGGGTTTTTTGTGGTGGTGGTGGTTGGTGGTGATAGTTTGTTTTTTGAGTAGTACATTGATATAAAAAAGTATTTACAGTAATCGGCTATAATGAATGGAGAACAGAGTAGCCTTTTCAATTTATACCCTTGTGTACTATTTGAATTTATTTTTACAGCAGATGTTCTTTTATAATTTACAAAATAATAATTGTATTCAATGGAGCATTCAGGCTTTTATAAGGTAAAAATTATTTCCATAATATTCAGTTTTATTGATGAATTATTTCAGCTTGCCCTAATGAAACAATTATATTTATTGTGATGGTTTCTTTCTTAACTTAGTATTGAGGAAAATACCTTATTTGAATCTTGATTTTTTTTTTCTTTGTGTGTGTGTGTTTGTGTAGACCTGTGATCTCTGAATCACATATTCTTTGCCTTTCTAAACAGCATACTTAAAGTAGTTTAAATTATTTTTACTGTCATGGTACAACTGATGTTCCTGTGGCACTTGCAGATTTTTGAAATGCTTTTACAAGCCTTATTCTCATTTAATCTGTAAATTAGCCCAAGTAGGTAGGTGTAATTATGTCTGTTCTATAAATATGGAAGGTAAAGCTCAGAGAAATTAAGAAATTTGCCTGAGATCACACAGCTGTAAGTGGCATAGCTAGGACTTGGTACCAAGTTGTCTGATTCCTAAATCCCCCTTTCCTGCTCTACCCTACTTCCCTCATCACCATTTGTGTCGATGCTGGTAGTTCTTATGTGTGGTGATAGCACTGTCTCAGGGGCATTTGGAAGATGTTGGTTGTTAGAGTGACCTGGGGAATTCTGGCAGTTAGTACTTTGGATTACTTAATGTTAAGTCTTGTACGGAAGGGTCTTGCACACTAAGGAATTGTTCCTTCAAAATGTCACTGTCCCCTCTCTTGACAAGCTCTCGCTGCACATTGCTGTTGATGACACCTTTTGCTATTTGCAATGATCAGATAACCATATTAAGATACAGTGCTATCCTTGAGGACCATTTAAATGTAGTAGAGTTTTATTTCTCAACATCAGTTCTTGTCACTGTGCTTAGCTGTGACAGCCCTCTCATCTTTCTAAGTTGCTGCTTCTAATCTGTTCAGAACTGAAGCCAAATAACAAAACTAATAAAAATTGTCTATCCAAGAAAAAGTCAGCCTCTGAATGAATGAGATCCTTTTCTATTGAATAGAGCTAGTGACCTCTGTTTCAATTTCTCAGAGGGCATATGACTTCCAGGTCATGGCTGGGTTCAGAGGATTGATGTAGCTGAGAGTTCAAGCTTAATCAGTCCTTGGGAGGTTTTATTTTAAAGAAGGGAAGGGTAATGTTTGGATTTCTATAATTCACCAAATAAGGCAGTGTCTTATCTAACAGAGAGAATAACGTTTATACCTATGATAGTACCTTTACATATCTCTTAACGATCCTGTGAAGTAAGTATATAAAATACCACTCATTCCTTCATTCCTTTTGAGAAATTAAAAATTGGAGCTTAGAGAGCCTGGGTTACTTTTCCAAGCTTGAGGAGCCAATGAGTAGCAAACTAGAGGCTGTGCTCTGAAGTCAGTTTCCATTATACCCTCCTGCTTCTCCAGGTGTGGTGATGGTGTGGTGCTGGTGTTGTGTACATGTTCTGGAGCACAGTCCCAAATAATGATTTGGTGTGGCTACACTTTTAGATAAATTCACCTGTGCCTTCCTTTTTTCATAGTTAGCATCTATATTCTTTTACTGTAGCTGAAATTAAAAAGAAGAAGAAGAAGAAAAAGAAAAACAAGAACAAAAAGATAATTGGTCTGCCTCCAGAGATAGCTGCTGTTCCTGAGCTGGCAAAGTACTGGGCCCAGAGATACAGGCTCTTCTCCCGTTTTGATGATGGGATTAAATTGGACAGAGGTAAAGTATACATGTAATTTTTACCTGTATTTCGAAAGAATTTCAAACTTAGAGAAAAGTTGCAAGAATGGAAGGAAAATTTTCATATCCCTTTACCAAAGTGCAGCTATTTTTAATGTTTTGCCACAGTTGCTTTATCATTCTCTCTGTATATGTATATAAATGTGTGTGTGTGTTTTTTCCTCATCCAGTTGCCCCTTTGCTTTAATACTTCAGTGTGTATTTTCTAAGAACAAGGATATTTTTATGTACTTAGTAAAATTGTAAATTTAACATTGTTACACTATTGTAATCTACAGTCCGTACTCTAGTTTCATCAAATAATTTAAAGCATTTTTTTTCTTCTAGTATAGGATCATGTATTGCATTTAGTTTTCATGTTTCTTTAGTTTCCTTTAATCTGGAATAATGGCTCAGCCTTCTTTGTCTTTCATGACTGACATTTTCCAAAATACAGCAGCCAGTTATTTTCTACAGTCTCTCAATTTGGGTTTATACGTGATTTAAAACTTCAGACTCAGGTCTAATCTGTATTTGTAGCATCTTAGAGTAGATAGCAAAAGGAATTGATAGGCTATTAAACACAACGTCTGATGAAGAAATACCTAGCGCAGAAAGATGTAATTTAATGAATTAATGCTGAAAATGTTGAATTCTTTCTCATTTTCCTTCTGTGACCTCGAACAGCTTACTTAGTTCAGCACACTGATGCTTATTTTCATATTGGGACCACTTAAATATTGATCTTTATTAACTGTCAAAATCAGGAGGACTTGATCTGTGGTAGAATTTCAGGAGTTCTGTGAACCTCATAATTTTTTACAAAATACTGTGCTTTGAGGAAAGTACATAGAAATTAGTTAGGAGAAGTAAGACTAGGTAAAAGCTTTTAATTCTATAAAACAAGTTTATATCTTTATTCTTCCAGCAATGAGGAGCCATTTAAAGTTTTGGTAGGGAAAGGCAACCAGAAAATTGGTGCATCATTTTATTCAGAGAAATATCTTTACGAAAAATGTAAATTTCTTCTATTAAGAAAGAAGGAGGACAGTATCCTCTTTCCTCTGGAGTGGGTGTAGGACGTCATTTCTGAAAATGATGAGGGTTCTGCTCTTCCTACAACTCTGCAGCCTTTTGCTATCAGCTCCTTGCTTTTCCTGACCGTTTAGAAATATGTGAACTTCTCCAAAATGTCCAGTACAAATTGGGATCATTGCTTCCCCGTTGGGAATGAAATAATTGGGAAACTCAGTGGAGTTTGGGGAACTGGCCTATTAGAATAGCTAACTTCCCATTTCCCATAGTAGATAGTCAATAGTTAATACTTCTAACAGAAAAATTGGAATTGCGTTCAGTTATTGGAAGTATATGACAAAAGAATCAGGCAAGAATTGAGGTCATTGCTTTTGTGGAAATTTGGAATGGGAATGGTACTACTGCTTTTTATAACAAGCTTTGTAGAGAGAGAGCTTTTCTTTAAACTAGGTAATTTATAAGTTTTTGAAAAGAGAAACTAAGGGTTTTTTTTAACTATATAAGATATAGTAACGTTTGCTGTGTTTATGCTTGGCTTGGCTTCCTGAAATTGAACATCTTCACAGCAATCCCCTTTCTTCACAGAGGGCTGGTTTTCAGTTACACCTGAGAAGATCGCTGAGCACATTGCTGGCCGGGTCAGTCAGTCCTTCAAGTGTGACACTGTAGTAGATGCATTTTGTGGAGTTGGAGGAAATACCATTCAGTTTGCCTTAACGGGAAAGAGAGGTAATTAGCCATCAATGGAAGAAAAGTAATTTATTTTCAGTTTATTCTAAATGTTTCATTTTGCTTCAGCTGACCTTTGCTGAGATTTAATATATAATTAAAAGTTTAATGCCACATATTTAAAATTATAATAGCTAGTATGTATTAAGCATAATGGCTTAATATGCGTTTATTTAGTCAACAGTCTTGTGAAGTGTATCTTTTATTATCTGCGTTTCACAGATTAACGGGGATAAAGAGATGAAGTAACTTTCCCAAGGTTACCCAGACACAGCTTGGTGGAGCCAGGATTATAACATTATATAAAACTTAAAATGTCAAAATGGGAGCCTATTTTTTAGAAGACAGGAAGAGTAGACCCGGAGTCCCAGCTTTGCCACTCATTACCTTTATGACTTTGGACATCAATTAACCTTAATTTAAAGGAGACGTTAAATTGAAGTAACCTCTGTGATACCTTTCAGCTTTAACATTCTAAGACACTGAACATCTTTTAACTATTAGAGCATCCTGGTGGTGGTTAGACTTTGGAATCACCAGAAGGAAAACCTCTGTTAATATGTATCTGCCAGGAACTGCGTCAAGTAGCTAGTCCGTGTGCTGTTTCCCCAGGGAAAGAAGGCTGTAAAAAATTGAACAATCTGCCCAAATTGACATAGCTGAGTTGTGAAGCCAGGGCTTTTACTCATTTTTCGGAATCTGATACCTTTTGTCTTTCATTCTAAACTCTTTTTTATTTTCTTCCCTGAGGAAGATTTTTCCCTGAGGTAACATCTGCTGCCATTCTTCCTCTTTTTGCATGTGAGCCGACATGACAACATGGCTGCTCACAGATGAGTGGTATAGGTCCTTGCCTAGGAACCAAACCTGGGCCTCCAAAGCAGAGCATGCCAAATGTAACCACTAGGCCACTGGGGCTGGCCCTCTAAATTCCTTTTAAAGTGTAGTATGATGTGATATTTTAGAGATATCAGTTGTTAAGTCATAATCTTAAAATGCTTTTCTTTCCCCCAGTGTCTTTTTATTATAGCTTCCATTTTGAAAATTTCAGTTGAGGCTCGTTAATTTATATAAAGTTGTTAATGTTAACTAGGAGAGCATATGGTTCTGAAAAGCATAATATAGAAGCTAGAAAATGATAAAGTGAAACTTAACATTGATTTTAAGACTGATACTGATGACTTTATCCAGTCACTCCTACAGTTCAGAGTATGACATTTGCTGACTTTAGTGGTAGCCTGGATGAAAGGTTTTTTCATATTTACTGGAATAGTAATTATTTTCTCGTTTTCCTTCAATTCACTAGTTTTTTTTCTCCCTGAGCTACCATCTGTGCCATTCTTCCTCTCTTTTGTATGTGGGTCGCCACCACAGCATGGCTTGATTATAAGTTGGCACCTGGGATCCAAAGCCTCAAACCCTGGGATGCTGAAGTGGAGCATGTGGACTTAACCTCTGCGCCACTGGGCCTGCCCCTTCAATTCACTGTTTACTCTTGTTAAAGTTCTTCTCTGTCTTTTCTACAAACTCAAATCAATTTTTATTGCATGAACATGATTTTTCCTCAAAAGTTGTAAAATTTGTCTTCATTTTGGCATTGTATTGTAACATGACAATGAAAATATCTGCCCTCTGATAAAGCAGCAAATAGATCAGAAATTTTTTCAAAATATTGTGGAAACAGTCCGTATTGTAGATTTATATTTCTTCAAATGGAGGCCTGTTACCAAGGCCTTCAGTGAAGGGCGAGGTCTCGTGTGGAGCTGAGAGGAGACTGCTTCTGCCGTGTCCTCACAGAGCTGACGTCCTTCACAGCCGCTCAGGGTCTTCCAGTCAGTCGCACTCACGGACTGCAAGCCTCTGGGAAGAAAAGGAGACACGGAGTAAACACCGTGCTTCCCCACTGTCGTCATGGTCTGGCTTCTGTCCTTGCAGCATATGGAACTGGAAGCTCAGAAACCCTCAAGCATGTTCAGCGTAGGATGTCCCATGACCTTCTCCCCAAACCAAAGATAGTAGCTCACAGGTACTCTAATGTTAGTTAGATATGCTACCCCTAGTGTGGTCGAGCTGACTGCCTTATGTTAGGGAATTCAAAACGATTAAAGTAGTGTGTGTGTGTGTGTGTTTATATACACACATATGCATGTAATCAATTATTCTTTAACTCTGTATAAATATATACATACACAAGCATTTATACATACACATATGAGAAAATGGCATTGTGTATAATTGACATGATCCCTTTGTGCCAGACTTCTTTCCACATATTTGCTATCTATGCATATAACAACTGAATGGTTAGAGAATCCATGAAGTTTTGTGTTTTGCTGTTAAAGATTTTTTTTCCCTTTTATGTATTCCAGTATTTCTGTATCAGTGCTATCCAGTATAACTTTCTGTGATGAAGTAATATTCTGTATCTGCACTGCCCAGTATACTAGTCACTCGCCACACATGGCTATTGAGCGTTTGAAATGTGGCAGTATAACTGAGGATCTAAATTCATAATATTATTTAATTTTAATCAATTTAAAGGTAATAGCCACATGTGGCTAGTGGCTACCGTTAGTGGATAGTGCAATTCAATATGGTATCATCAAACGTTAGTCAGTATTTCATTTATATGATAGATTGAATGCTTACATTCTGTGAGACCTAGAAACAAGTCGGCCTCCAAGAGAAGTGCAGATGAAAACATGACGATTACTGAATATATTTGATGTTGAAAGTCATTTTCTCCATCGAATTTTTGGTATTGTCAGCATTTCTTTCCATCTGTCTCTGTACTATAAATGTTGCAGACTGAGCAGCTGAAAAGGACATTTTCATCCTTCCTCTTATAAATATGTATGTCAGTTCATTTAGAACAGAAAAAATAGTATCGTAAATGCATGATTTTGCAACATATAATTGCTGCTTGTATTCATTGTTCAAGTAATTTATTTAGTGCATTATTTCTCAAAAGTGTTAACATATTTCAAAACCAGCATTTTCTGGAAAACACCTCCATTTCCTTGACAGCCATGGTATATGCATCAGGGTTGCACTTAGCCCTTCCAGATATAAAATATTGCCACTAACACACTGGTGCACATACAGCTGCACTCGAGTAGTAATTTACTGCAAGACATGAGAGCGCTAAAATTAACTCATGTTTGCATTGCTAATTATGAAATTGTAATACATTAAATGAAAGCCCATTTGGTGAAAACATAACATTGTCTGTTCCCTCTACCTAAAACGTCTCATTAAACATCATCAGCAGGTGTTTCTGCATTTCTTCTTCATAAGGTGGCCATATAGGTTTCTCAAAATGTGTTTTATTTTGCTTTTCTGTAGAAGTTGTCGAATTTGTCTTCCTTTGGAGGTTGCCTCGTTCTGAGGAAATTGGTCTTTTCTGCAATCTTGGCATTTATAGGCTTTACGTGCAGTTGGTGGCTTTTCCAGCTGTTCGCTCCTCAGACTGTCCACTGCATGGAGCGCAGGGCCGACCACATGTGTGGCTCTCAGTAAATACATGGTGGCGTAGATACATGCGACTTGCTTTGGTAAAGCTTTTTGAGTGAGTCAGAACTGAAAGCCAGGTCCTTCAGTTGCATTCTCTTGATACAACACAAGTGAAACATTGTAACTTAGATTTAAATTTTTATTAAATTCTCTGTCCCTGGCATATATGGCCAAATCTCCCTTAGTCTTTGAAAAAAAGGTTCTTATACAGAGAATAAACAGACTGCTGAGATGAACTACTTTATGTAACCCGGTATCATTTGATTTGTCTTTCCCGTTCCCATTTTTAGTGATTGCCATTGATATTGATCCTGTTAAGATTGATCTTGCTCGCAATAATGCAGAAGTTTATGGGATAGCAGACAAGATAGAGTTCATCTGTGGAGATTTCCTGCTGCTGGCTTCTCAATTAAAGGCCGATGTTGTGTTCCTCAGCCCTCCGTGGGGAGGGCCAGACTATGCTACTGCAGAGACCTTTGACATTAGGACGATGATGTCTCCTGATGGATATCCTTTGAAAGACCTAAGAGTTTACTCAAACAGAGGTTGTGGAGAGGCAGGGTTTTGTGTGTGTGTGGGTATGTGCGTGTGTGTGTCTTTGAGAGAAAGAAAGAAATTAGTGAAGAGGAGAGATATTAGCTGATAGCACTTGATAGAGTCCAGTTTGTTTTGCCTAAAAAGCAGGTATGTAAAAATTAACTAGTGATCTCCGAAAGTTATGGCAAATGTGAGATCATATTTACTTTGGTTACTATCCAGTGTTACCATTACAAAACAAGAACTAGAAAGCAGTAATTGTTTGTGGAGTTAGTGTCTGGAAATTGGGGATTTCCTCAAGACCTGTCCCTAAAGTCTGGGTGATTATTGCTTAACTTTTCTTCAACGCACACTGATGTGTGCGAATTCTCTGTGTATCTTCAGATTTTTCCTGTTGCTCTTCCAAGATACTGAAGCATACCTTTATTTCATAAAGAATAGCATTTATTTATTATTTATCCCCTTTTAATCTCTACTCCCCAGAGGAATCATCTGTTTGACTCTAACAGGAAATGTGTTTCTCAATTGCTAATTAAAACAGAATGTAGACTACGATGGACAGTTACTTAACTGGAGAGCGGTGGTACTGTTTTCCTATTCTTTGTCTTTCACAATAACTAGGAAATGGCAGAAAAGAGGAAGCATGTATATTTCTCACCCTTGGTTGCCCACCACTAGGATAATTGAATAAAAAGGTTTAACTTCTAACCTCGGATCTGTCAAGGGCAGTATGCTGCGGAATTATAAAATCCGCTACTTAATTCTCTCTTAGGTTCCATTAGAGGATTTAAATGTGCGCCTCATTGTTACATATCAAAATACATTTGGGTTGTGCTATAATAAGTAAACAACATATCTGTGATCAGAAATTAACTGCTGCTTTTGTTATTTTTCCTTAATGCTGTCTACCTTTGAAATTTTCAGACTGTCTCAGAAGATCACCAATAACATTGTTTATTTTCTTCCAAGAAATGCTGATATTGACCAGGTAAGCCATTACTGAGGAACTTCTATGAGCCCCTGGCATAACTATTACAAAGAATGGGCAGAAAAAGATACAGAGTATTTCTTTAATTGAGAAGGTGTTCATGAGAAGTCCATGGTTTTGACTATTATTAGAAAACTGGAAGTGTTTGGCCATTGAATCCCTGCCTGTTTCATCCTCTTCATCTCCACGGCTCCTGGCATAATTAAACATAAATAGAGCGCTCTGCGCTTTTAATTATATGTTCTGAAAAGATAACTGAATGTGTTATGATTCAAATGTGCTCGCCTAAACTAGCCAAGGTTTGTCTCTAAACTGGAACCTACCTTGAGAATAGAGATTTTAGGTATTCCTGAAACTAGTAGCCTAAATAGAAATATACAGGCAGATGAAACCTTAATTTGGCCAAGATCAGTTTCAACTATAGTCTTGGGATATAGGATGCTTGACTAACATTCAGACATTCTAACATTCATATCCTTATTCCATTCTTACCATGAACACTTATTTTAGTCATCTTATTTTTTCCCTAGTAGAATTGGATCTGGTGTCATAACTGCCTCATAAAGATCTGATAATGTCTTTATTTCGTGCTTTTGTTGATTTCTTTTTCTGAAGATTGGCACCTGAACTAACGTCTGTTGCCAATCTTTTTCTTTTTTTTTTTTCTTCTTCTTCCTAAAGTCCCCCAAGTACATAGTTGTATATTCTGGTTGTAAGTGCCTCTGGTTGTGCTATGTGAGATGCCGCCTCAGCATGGCCTGATGAGCGATGCCACGTCTGTGCCCAGGATCTGAACTGTCAAAACCCTGAGCTGCCGAAGCAGAGCAGGCGAACTTAACCACTTGGCCACGGGGCCGGCCTCTGTTGATTTTTTATAAACACTTATTACATGTCTACTCTGTGCTAAATAGTCTTTTGAAAATCTTTTGTCTTTCATATTCTAAATTTTACTGCAATGTTCCTAGGTGTGGGTTTTTTCTCTCTCTCCTTTTGATGCTCTGAGAGCTTACCTTATCATTCTGAGCTTTTCCATCTTATTCTGGAGAAATTATCTCCATTATTTGTTCAGCTTTGTTCTCCTCGCCATTGTTTTCCTTTTTCTGGGGCATCTATTATGGGGATGTTAACCTTCCAAAAGTATATTTTCTAGTGTTTTGTCTCCTTTGTCCTTCTGGGAAATTATCTCAACCTGGTTTCCCATCTCATTCATTCCTCAAGTGTGTACATTCTATTATCAGGCCCATGTGTTTTGTTTTTTAATTCAACTGTTATTTAGACTTCTTTTATATTCTTTATGCTTAATATTTCTGCATTGTTTTTCTTCTTTTGCACCCTAATCTTATTATTATAAGAAGTTTAAATTCTTAATCTGTTCTGTCCTTTCTGCATTTGATGTAATTTATAATCTGGCTTGTTTTTCTTCTATGAAATACTTGTAATCCTCAACTATCTGTGTTCATGAGTGTTGGGTATTCTCAGGTAATGCAAAAGGATAAAAGACAGGCCAGAATCCAGTGAGTGTCAACCCTGGCTGCGCTTTAGAATTACTGGGGACACATGTAAAAACCGTGGCTGTCCAAGCCTCAGTTTAGTAAAGCTTCCTGGGTCATTGTGATGTGTAGCCTGGATGAGAACCCCTGTGGAAGGCTGTGACAGCCCCAGTGATAACCTTGAGATGAAGGCAAGTAAGCTCTGGGGTGGTTAACCCAGGCACGCAAGACCATAGATACTTATCACGGAATACCATCTCAGGACACAGCTCCCGCCTCTTTGGTATGGGGCCAAACAGAAGCAGCATTTAAAGGCTGTACTCTAATCTTAGAGTGTAATTCATTAGCTCTGGGGTTTGGACAGGGAGGAGTGAGAAGGCAGCTGCCACAGCTTGGGTCCCACCTGTTTGTCTCAGCTTCTCACAGCAGAACTTCTTTTTAGACTGCCCTAACTTTACTTCTGAGCATAGACCAGAGTTCTCAGTTTGTGCAAGTGAGACGACATACACTGTTCCTACGAGGCAAAGGCACTGGGCAGGGAGAAACAAGAGAGAATTTCACGTTTCATGTTCTCCTCCTTCCTGTCTTATCTTCCCACAAGCACCTGCCTCCTGCTCCAGGCCAGAGGCACTACCCTTCATCCTACCGTTCTTTTGTTTGGTGGTTTCCCTCTAGTGTCTCCAGAGCTATCTTACAGGAGTCAGCGGTCATACTAGTTCAGCTTCTTCCGAGGGATTACAGGATAAATACATAAATTATTATTATAATGCAACCTTCTCATAAGAAAGGTAGAGATTAAATGCGCTGGTTTTCTGGTGGATGATTTCAGAAAAGGCCCTGGATGATATCGCATGTAAACTGGACTTTAAAGGTAAAGAAGAGTTGGTTGTAGGAGGTTCAGAGAACGTGGCAAGAACATTGATGACATGGAAGTGGGAATATGTGGATAATGTTCAGGTAATGGACTAAAAAAAAAAGAGCTGTTCAGAGTCAAACCTGAGTTTATTCTCAGCCCTGCCACTTAATAGCTTTCAGGTGGTGGTTTTAAGAAATAAATGAAATAAGTGTGTAAAGCATTTATCACAGTACCTTTAGCCCGTAACCCTCAATAAAGTCTCGTGTCTGTTGTGTAGAAGATCCTATTATAAAGTTATTACCAAAAGAATGTAAATGTGACTAAGATTCTGAAGAGGACCAGTATGAAAAAATAACGTTTTCTCCAGAGGGAAGAATAGACCACTTTAATATTTGTGAAATGATAGAATTTAGTTTATACACATATCCCAGATTATAGATTTTTCTCTTCCTCCTGTCAGAAACCAGATACACTCACTTGTTACTGGACATATTTTCATGTTCATTTGTTATTCTTCCCCATCCTCGGCTTCTCTGGTTAGTCTTTGGAACACTGGTTCTCAGTTCTGGCTGCAAGTTGGAGTTGCTCGAGTGGCTTTTTTTTTTCAATTGTGGTAAAATACATAACAGAATTTACCATAAATCCTTTTTAAGCATACAGTTCAGTGGCATTAAGTGCATTCACATTATGTGCACCCATCACCACCATCCGTCGCCGAACTTTTTCATCTACCCAAACTGAAACTCTAGACCCATTAAACACTAACTCCCCATTCCCCCACCACCTGCCCCTGGCAACCAGCATTCTACTTTTTGTGTCTATAAATTTGACTGTTGTAGGTACCTCATTTCAGTGGAATCATACAGTATTTGTCCTTTTGTGTCTAGTTTATTTCCCTTAGCATAATGTCTTAAAGGTTCTTCCATGTTTTAGCATGTGTCAGAATTTCTTTCCTTTTTAAGGCTGAATAATACTCTATTGTATGTGTATACCACATTTTGTTTATCCATTCATTCACCACAGACATTTTGGATTGTTTCCACCTTCTGGCTGTTGTGAATAATGCTGCTGTGAATATAGGTATACAAATATCTATTGGAGTCCCTGCTTTCAGGTATTTTGGGTAGATACCGTGAAGTGGAATTGCTAGATCATATGGTCATTCTGTGTTTAGTTCTTTGAGGAATCACCATATTGTTCTCCACGTAAGCTGAGCCATTTCTATTCCCACCAGCAATTCATTCTGGTTTTTCCACATCCTTGCTAACACTTGTTATTTTGTTTGTTGTTATTGTTTAATGATGGCCATAGTAATAAGTATGAAATGTTATCTTATTGTAGTTTTGGCATGCATTTTCCTAATGATTAGTGATGTTAACCATCTTTTTATGTGCATATATCCTGGATATTAATCCTTATCAGATATATGCTTTGCCAGTATTTTCTTTCATTCCATGGGTTGCCTTTTTACTCTCTTCATAGTGTCCTTTGCTGCACAAAATTTTTTAATTTTGATGAAGTTCAACTTACCTATTTTTTCTGTGTGTTGCCTCTGCTTTTGATGTCATATCCAAGAAATCATTGCCAAATCCAATGTCATGAAAATTTTCCCCTATGTTTTCCTCTAAGAGTTTTATGGTTTTAGCTGAGTGGCTTTTTTAAACCACTGATATGTTGGTTCACCAGGAAGGATTCTCTCTTAATTTATTTTGTGGGTTGAAGCCCAAGCATAAATCTTTTAAACTCCCCAAGTGATTGTAATGTGCTGCCAGAGTTGAGAGTCTCTCGGTTAAATAAAAAATAAATAAAATTAACAAGCCTAAGGTCGTACTCTATGAGTTAGAAGAAGAAGGAATTAGATCTTGCCTGTCATCTATTTATAAGCCATTTCATCTAAACATTAGGCCTCCCAAATACTGTATGCTATACCGGTTACAAGAAAAAGCACTCTCCCCTTGCTTCATGCATTTACATATCAAATTTGATATTAAACCTAATATCTGCTGCTCTGGTGACTAAGATCTGCGTTCTAGACTCCCAGATAAGGTTGAGCCTATTGATTCTATAATTCTTATTGTTCTCATATGTAAATATTATACTCCATACTAGTCTCATTAGAGGCTATGTGATTCTTAAATTAAACATTAGATGGGCTTATTTGGGTACTTGAATGACAATAGGCAATTCACTATTTATTGTAAAAGTTACAGTGAGTAAATTTTTTTCTAGTTAAATTAACACTTGCCCAAGGAGAAAGTTAGCTCTTTTTCTTTAACTTGTGTTTTTAGTTTATTACTTTCAAAAACCTACCAGAATTACAGTTGGTAGTTGATTCAAATTTTCTACCTCTAGAGGGAGTAACGACACTAGAGAATAATAAAAGTCAAAAAAGGAAACTTGAGATTTCAAGTACATTATATTGTTTGGTATTGAATTTGGATCAAATTATGGTGGGAAGTCAAGTTTTCTTTTTAAAGTGAAGGAAATCTATCCATATGTAGGATTTTAAAAAATGAGAGACAGTACTACAAGATCGAGAGAGCAGAGTTACAGAGAAGTCAACTTTTTCGTTAAGGAACGTTTAGAAGGTCACAACAACCTGAACTTACAAATGGGTTGAGTTCCCAAAGTTTATGGGTCTGCTTTTGAAGCTC